GAAGCAGAATAAGGGAATCACGGAATAGATAATCTAGCCGGAAATACAATGCACAAATGTTCTCTACAGAAGGACGTGCAAAGTATTTGATTACAAGACAGTCGAACACCGCCCTATATGTCGTATGTGATTAAGGAATTAGCCAATATTTGGAGATCATGGGTTAGAACTGAGTCGCGTTGCTATCCAGCAAAAAAGACTTGCTGAATTGTCTCAGGGCAACCAAAGTTGTCAAATTCAGCTGTCATCTGGAAAAGAATTCTAGCGGCTGGCTGCTCTTATGGATACTTTCTGTGATTTTTCCTATCAATAACAATCTAATTTCGGGCCACTACTCTAATAAAAGAGCTAGTTAAGAGAGAAGAACACACCCATATCGTGCCTTCGGTTTCAGGAATATTCTATAAGAATTCAACAAAATGCGTGCCAATAGATTTGTCTTGTTGTGAAGTCTAGAATTAGCTATTTTCCATATCTCTAGGTAACACAAAACTCCCTCAAAACGCTTTGTAGGTTCTGTATCCTTTGTAAGATGTTTTTCGATAATTATTGAACAACTGTATTTCAAAAACTCATTCTATAGAATTTTTAGATTAGATTATATTTATTACTAATTCTGCAATTAAGTTTGAGAACTTGGTGACAGAATACATTAACTTAACATTACAGAACGTAACAACTTTACAAAATTCTTTACTCTTCTCCATCATACATCACATACAGTTTTACTGCCTTTTGACTAAATAAATCTTAATAAATCTAAATCTAAAATTTACAAATTTTACAAATTGACGTGAAAATTTAACCGTGCAATCTTTCACACCACACCACCTCACCACACTTCACTTCACCGCACTGAGAATCCCTGATCTGTAATATCTTTCTTATACACTCGTTTCTCTCAATTTCACAACGCCACTTCCCGTAAGTAATAATAATAATAATAATAACAACAACAACAATAATAATAATAATAGTAATAGTAATAGTAATAGTAATAGTAATAGTAATAGTAATAGTAATAGTAATAGTAATAATAATTATTATATAACAACTTACATTACATAGTAGATACTTGTAATACACATATCAACATCTAAGAAATCAATTTTTTATTAAATTTTTTATAATACCTTAGAATATATTTGAAGGACACAATAATGGTCGGTCCCCTATCAGTAGACAGAGTACCTTCGAACAACTCCTTATTAGCTACGAACGATGAACCATAAGAGATCTAATTGCAGTGACGCACGGACTCACGCAGATTACCTTATTGCTATGTGTATGTAGAATATTTTCAGTCAAGCAGAAACCACCCTCCTTGGGTGATGTCAAGCTCCGGGAAATAATTCTTTCTTTTTTGTTTGTTTGTCTTTTCTCTCGGGCATTCCTAACTGGAACGTTAAGACCACGCAGGTAATTTTTTCTTCTTCAGAACACTCCTTGAATTGCGAATGGTACATTGACATTCAATCAAGGACGCTACGTCTGTCTTAAGAAGAGGATTGTCTGACCGTCGAAGTATCCTACAAAGAGGGTTGCAATTGTTAGTTCTAGATGACCAGCATGCCCAACAACGTCCAGTGAGAGCGGACCTACCAGCTGGCGAGATGGTGGCTATGGCGTCCTTTCACATGCCCACGAAGATGAAGCAAAGGGCGTTCGCTAGGGATGACAGAGGATATTCCGAAGTCGAACTGACCTCGGTGCGCGGGGATATAAAGGATTGCGGCTGCAACCTCGTACTCCGCACACAAGTTCCAAAACGCAGCGGCGCGGCGTGGAAGAAACGCAGGGGCTGGAGGAGTGTTTAGCCACTCAGTGGGACTGACCGAGGGCAGAGCGGCGACCGCAGCCTAGTACGCGGAGCGCAGTTTCCACCACGTGCGTAGATCACTTCCATTACGTGTACCTGGTATGTCATTTATACGGACCAAAAATATGTTTTTGCTGAAAAGTTTAGGTCATGATTCTTAGATCCAACGACCTTGATGCGTCCCGTTCAATCTTCGATATTCAAACTCAAGTCGGTACGGGTTAAAATAATTCGATGATCATAAACAAAATTGGGAGGCGTGTTCTTGAAGTGTTCGAAAATGTGCCAAGGGTATACGTTCCAATATTTCAAAGTTAAAAACTAAGGGACACCGTAAAGTACAATGTAGGCCACCGCGCGGTTCGTAATTCAGTGCGCTGATCCTGGAGAAGCTGCAAAATTTTGAGACGATGCGTAGCATTCAGCACTCTTATCAACGGTCTTGGACACTAAGACACGGCAAAGTTTCTTTTGCTCGTCACGAGAGGTAGACTGCGATTTTCGTAACTCTGTCCCTGGCAGGTATCAGCTGTTTACAGTTTCATCCAATCAGAAGCTTAAACGTCACCATAGTGACATCACTATGGTGACGTTCGAGCTTCCGATTGCGTGAAACCGTAAACAGCTGATACCTACCAAGGGAAGAGTTGCATAAATCGCTGTGTAAGCTTCAGGCCTGGATCGCGTCATTGCCATTTAGGCAACAAAGCACGGAGTCATTTACTCTGAATACAAATATTAGAGTCACTGAAAGAGAAATGAGTTTTTCGTTGTTTTTATAGTTGTTTGTTCACTTCTAATTTAGCTCTCCCATGCACTCAACGAGACTATTTTAGGCTTTCATTTTCTCCAGTACATACTACTTAGAATATACAAAGTAATAAACGTGAAGAAGAGAAGAGAAACATATAGTGCTGCGGAAAATTGATTTTGAGCCCTTCAGGCACAGAAAACGTATTTTTTCAATTCCGTCGAATCCGTCGTATCCGTCGAATCGAGCAGATTCGAATGCTTTAATAAATTAATATTCTCTGAACAATTTGACATAACCAGAAACCCTGCGATTTTGAAACTAATTATTTGAAATTTAGAAATATTTTACTTAAAGCATATGTTACTTTTCAAAATGTCCTTTAAAAACGTTGAAAACTGACTTAGCTTATGCACAGTACATTTGAAGTAGAATTTTGTTTATGCTTAAAAAATACCATCTGGGAGACCTAGGTGATTGTCCTTATGGTGGCTTGTTTGAACACTGCAACGCAACCATTTAATGTAAATATTTAATTTATAATACATATTATTAATGGTAACAAAAGTACTGTACGAAATTCGATGTACTTGACATTAATACACGCGTATGACGTTTATGATACTCCCTCGTTACTAGCTCGTATCGTAATATCACTTCACACTCATGTATTAATACTCATTACTTCACCATCGTTTCATAGTATACTACTATTAATGTATTCTTTTTTTAACATTACACAAATTATTAATTTTGTTGTGTACTTAATATTTATACGAGCGAATACTAGTATTATTGCATTTGTGAGTAAAAGTACTTCAAATGATGTTTTGTAAAGCTTCTCGAACACTCAAAAATTGTCTTCAAAATGAGCCTAAAGTTGTGCAGAAACTCTCAAAAGACTCTTTTCAAAAAGAATTTCAATTTTTTTCTTTCCACTTTTTGTATGGATAGTATTAAATTTACAGAAATACATGACATAAACGCCATTTTGACTTATTATTTTGAATACATCAAAATGACGTTTGGAATGGATAAATGAGTAATGGTAAATTTGGAAATTCCCAAGTTACACTTTTTTATATCTCTCAGGTTGTTGATATTTATTTGAAGTTTTGTATACATTATTGCATTAGTAAATACATGTGTTTCAAACAATTTCTAATGAAGTTTCTCGAACACAAATGTTTTTTGTGTGAATGAGCTCTGTCGAAATGTAATAGAAGGCCGAAAAATATTTAATTTTGTAGCATACCTAGGAAACATAGCTCGTCAAGAACAGACAATTCGTGTTTGTGAGGCCTATAAAGCACCCTTTTCGATTCATACAGAATGGTAACTTATGTTGCAGCCCAGTGCTTCTTGTGGATTGCTTGTGTTTCATGCGCAATTCTTCATCACATTAAGCACAAAATTCTAAAATTTTCGGCTTAATTTTGTTCATGTACCACAAAAACGGTATTTCTCGAATGATCAGTAGCACATTTACAGGATTGTGTGTTGATGATGACTTGTGAATACTACAAAACCGATATCTCGTCTTAGCGAAGTTTCTTAACTAATCAATGGTGATTTTGAAATCGGAAAAAATACAACTACGAATATTTGGGAATCTTGGAGAGGTTACAACTTTTCACAGTTTTTTTATCACTTACGTACGTGTCCCGGTGTCTTATCTCTTGCTAACGCTGTTATCACGCACTCCAAACCGCTAAGCCACATGGTGTCAACACTGTTAACAAGGTTAATCAACTTTCCTCGACAAGAACAATTTTTCTCAATTTTGGAATCTCCCGTTTCTATCTGATGTAGAAAAGTGCAAAATACATTTTCCGTCAAAATATTGACTGGTTCTGAACCAATCTGAATCTGATAAAAAACGTCTATGCGACAAAAAGAATACGTATTTTGAATAACGTTATTCGATGTTCAATGCTTCTCAATAGCAATCTAGCAATTCCAATACCAAACAAAGTAATACTTTATTTTAATTGTACAAATCAGCCAGAAAAATACAGAAAATAATGTAAATATTTATCTTTATAGATTGAGAGAGTAAAAATGGGTAAGAAGTGAAAATAAGAGTAAGCAAAACGACACAAAATGACAAAAAATGAATTGTTAATAAAGAGTCCTGGTGTTATCAGAAAGCATTTGAAAGGTACAATAGTATTCAGTTTTATAACTTTCATACCTGCTAGCTTCACTAACTATATATTTCATAGCTTTTCTTCTTTCCTTCTTTTAATGTTTGATTTACTTTCATATGAAGTATACACGTGACTTTTCCCTTCATTTTATCGGTTTAGATTATAATCCTGTTCGCGAAGTAGATTTTTTCAAAACTCACTTGATGTGAGTAATAATTTTTAACATGAAGCAGTGTCTGTTTCAATTTAGTATAAATGGCTTTAAGAATGCCTTAATTTTCTACTTGTGAAAATTAATTACCTTTACATCGGTCACTTTTATATTTTCACTTTCACGAAACATATCCGTAGTGTTCTCCGGTGTGATATCACTATCTTTGCTCTGAAAAACTTTTACAGGGACCGATACATCAACTGTCAGTGGCATTTTTAAGTTAACAACACATTCCACTAAAACATCTATTTCACCTTCTTCTAACAACGCATCGTCGCACAATTTGTTGTTGTTACTTGTTTCAGGAATTTCTTGTAAATCTTCAATATTTTTTGTTTGTTTAGCTTTGATCTCTTTGACAGGAATAGACACCGGCACCTTAAAATGTATTGGAGCTTCCACAAAGAAATCAATTTTATCTTTATGTAGTACTTTTTTGTGGTACACTTTAATGTTGTCTGGTTTTGAAATGTCTTTAGAGCCTTCTATTTCTTCTGCTTCTTTACGCTCTTTTAGTTTTTTGTCATTCTCCTGCTCTTCTTGTGTTATTTTACAATCAGCGAATGCTTCTGTGATCTCTTCGGAGAAACTTTCTACAACGTTTTCGAATATCTTATCTCCACTCATGATGCTTCTGCAACTAAAACAAAATAAAACGTTATTTTGAAATACTTGCAAAAGAAATAAATGGATGCAATAATTTTGAAGTATATAATCTGTATATTTTCATTAAACCGAATAAAAAAATTTTAAAATATAAAAGCTTTGTTTAATTCACTAGAAAAGAACACTTACACTTGGATGCTCTTGTTTGGAGAACGAATATATAAGCAGGCGAAGTGTGCCGTTCTGTATTCAGCGAACAAATGTTTAGTAGAACGGTAGTTGCGGTATCTCTGGGGGGGGGGCCAAGCGGATGCTCGTACGCAACGCCAGACGTCACGATGAGGAAACTTACAGAACAAAGTGGCTCAAGTTCCGGAATACGTTTTATATCCTATTCCCGTAGACCATTGCAGAAAACAAATTAAATGAAAAATATAAAAATATAAATAATAATAAAAATATAATATAATATAATATAATATAATATAATATAAAATATATCTAAAATATAATCCCATTTTTAAGAATTTTACTAACTTTTAGTTAACCAAGAAATATAAAATTAAATTTCCCTCAGTAACTAGTGGTGCAACAACAGCACATACTTTCTCGCCCGTAATTTCATCCAAAATTACTGGAAAAGTACTCAAATTTTCGAAAAATTGTACATGACCATGTATCAAAATCTATCTTTAAGGAATAGATTTCATGAAGGGAAAAAGTCTCTATCTTTAATATTTTAGTTGTAGGAGTACTTTGCAATAGACGTTTGCAATTTTCAAAAAATCAGGGTTTTCAACGAACATGAGACCTGCACCATTCTCTTTACCGTCCTTCACACTATCCAACAGCACAACTTCATAATAAAAAGGATGGAGCTATTTTTATGAAATTTTTGAAAATGTCTCAGGTGTTTCATGTAAAGTATCTCCAAAATTAAAATATCGGTTTCAAATTCAAGAGGCCGTTACATCAGTCAAATCGATTGAGGAATATCAATTTCGGAGAAAATCGGCTGATCGGTTTAGCCGCTCGTATTGAGCACAGACAGACGGTCTGACAGACGTTTTGCCGTCAATCGATTTTTCGGAGTTAAGAACATACAAAACATGGATTTTGGCTACACCATGTGTTTGAGAATGTTTTTCTAGGTTTAGCAACAGAATTTATCCACTTTTTGGTTATGAGGGCCCTGTAATAGATGTTTATCTGCCAAAAATTTGCGATTTTTTCGCACACCATTACATAACTTTCTCTCTACTCCGCAGTGAGAAAGTAAAAAAGTTACAGATAAATCATTCAGACATTTAATAACAATTCAGATTATTAATATATTGTTCTGATGAATAACTGATAATTCATATCAGTTATCATTTTGATTTCCAACTCAACAATTGACGTGTTATGATGCAACACGTTACCATAGATTATATTCAAAAGAAACCATAGTGCATTATATTCATAAGATTCTTCCTAGGGTCTTAAAATTAGGTGTAACTGGACACTGCAGTTACATCTCAACATTGCTATGCACTTTATGACAAGTTGTCATAAAATTGTCACGCAGGCGAAAAAATTGGACTGAGATTTCTCTAGTTCACAACATATAAAATTGTATGTGATCAGGATTAGTACCTTTCTTGTCAATCACCATTGCGTGTATTTTGCTTTATTCTGCGTTTCTCTCTAAAAAATTCCTATTTTGCACGAAAAAACGCGATTTTCTTCAAAATACTAGAAGAGTTATTATGACATTTTTCATCATTAACAGTCAGTCGCAGAAAAAAATTCTCCAACATAGCAGAAATTCTCCTCTGCTGTAACATGTCCGTCAGGTCCTGGAAGATACGAGTACGGCGTATGTTCTTTTAACATTTGGCCAAAATATATTGAGTTAGCTTTCAATACATTCAAAACATATTGTAACGAATGCAATTTCTTTCTATATGTTTATTGGCAAAATGATAAATTTCTACCCCTCTCATGCTCTCTACATGCTCTAGAAGTGTGTGCCATTTATTTTGAGATATCTGAGATTCATTTCATTAATACACTTTATATAATTATTCCAGGATTATTTTCAATATTTTTAATTGAAATATTTTAATAAATAGATGAGATAAAAGAAAGAATATTAAGAGGTAAAATCTCCTCAAATGGAAAAAGTCCCAACAAAGTATATCTGTAAGCAAATAGGAAAAGTACTTTAGGAAATTATTAAATGAAGGAAGGTCAGACTTTCTTGAAACTACAAAAAGGGAAAAGATATCTCTGGCAGGGAAAATTATAGTAACCGAAGAGAGAGTAAAGAGATGATAAAGATTGGAACACCAAAGCTAGTACGAATGATGACAAAGATAATGAATATGTGTATAAGTAATGACGATATACCAGAAGACTGGAAAATGGCTCATATAACACCAATATATAAGAAAGGAGAGACATACGTGAAAATTATAGAGGGATAGCAGTGACAAACACGTTCAGTAAGGTATTTGGAAGAATATTAAGAGAATTAATAGAAGATGGATTCAAGGAGTACGAAGAAGAACAAAGTGGTTTTAGGGCGGGTCGATCTTCCGTAGATAAACTGTTTCGTCTGTCTCAGGTGATACAAAAGAAATGGAAAACACGGAGAGGACTTCACATGTTCTTCCTTGATATAGCAAAGGCAAATGATAGTGTGTCTGTAATAAAGTTATGGGAAGTTATGAATAAAAGTAATGTTAATAAAATCTTAATAAATGCGGCGAAGAAATTGTATATAGATCAAAAGGTAAAAGTGAAACAGATGACCCAAACATTTCTTATATCAAAAGGACTACGGCAAGGATGCTGTTTGTCACGTACCCTCTTCAAAATGTATGTTAATGCGGTGTTACAAGTATGGGAAAGAAAATGTGCTAGGTTGGGAACATCACTTGATGATAATACAACACTCTATACACTACAGTTCTCTGATGATAAGGTGCTGATGGCGAAAGAACAAGATGTTGAATATATTACTAGGAAGATAAAAAAAGATTATGAGGAATTTTAAACCTCTATCTAGAAAAAACAATATACTGGGCTCTAGGCAGTACACATGACATATTGACTATGGGAACTGGAGAAATAAGAAGAACAACAGAGGACATAAAGTACTTGGGAACAACAATAGGAAAATAGTGTTTTTTTGGAAAGGAATGCGAAACCCGACTCATTAAAGAAGAAACATTTTAGGAGCCGTGAATGCAATTATCTGGGATCAAAATATGAGCAAGAAAACGAAAATTAGAATATATAAGTGTATGATTGAAAGTGTTACATTGTATGGAGCAAAAATATAGCAGCTTCAAGAACAACAGAAAAGAAAACTGAGAGCTTAGGAAATGTATTTCTTCAGAAGAGCTGCAGCAATATCTAGAAGGGAAAGTATTAGGAATGAACAGGTTAAGGAAATGATGAATCAGCAACATGATATTATAGACGAAATTGAAAAGAAACAACTCACTTGGTTTGGACATGTACAGCGTATGGACGAGAGAAGACTCCAGAAGAACCGTGGAATAGCCACCAAGTGAAAGGAAGAATCGAGGCGGATGGAACAACCAGATCAGAAAGATATCGAGAAGTGGAAATTACCTCCTGATTCCTGGAAGAACAGGAAAGACTGGAGAAGAAAATTAGGCGCCGCAAGACCGAAGTAGCGGGTAAGAAAACAGCAAGAAGAAGTGAAGATAAATCGATAAAAAAATTACACTGTAATTTTAGTAGTTTCATTTTAATTTTGTGTGGCATGTTCACCTGTGAATTAAATTACTACGGAGTATTGGTCCGAAACCAGTTGTAGTTTCACATTTTGGTGGCTCGGCTGGTTAAGATTTTGGGATTGATTAAAATAATCGAAGATATCAGAGATTGCAGTCAGTCGTAGGAATAATATGAAGGTTCTGATGTTGTCAATAGATACAGAGTGTACGGGGAAGACACGTCGTAACTTCGATAATAAACTCTTTCTACAATATTAAGCAAATATTGTCGAATTAACTATGTGGGTATACCGAATGGCTAAGCCGTTGTTTGAAAGTTGGTTTGCTTTCTAGGAAAATATCTGCATTTCAGAAGCCTAAAATATTTCAGAAACATGAAAATTATTTATAACTTTCAAAAGAAATGAATATATTTGTACAGAATGGAAAATTAACCCAGAAACAATCAAGCTGTCAAAATGTATAAATGAGATGCTTTTTTATTTCAGTGTTATTTTTTTTCCTGAACAAATATACTAATTTCTTTTGATAATATTAAACTATTAACATGGTCTGGAATTCGATGCTTCTGCAATGCAAATTTTTGTCTAGAAAGCATTTTTTCAAATCAATTTTTGAGTGCTTATTGCGGCTAAACCATTTGGAATATCACAGTAGTTTATTACACAAAATATGCTTAAAATTGTAAAAAGAGCTTATTTTTGAAGTTTCGACGTTTCTTCCCCAGACATATTGTATACAATTCTTTTCCGAATTAAACCAAGTCAGTCCTGTTCAACGTGGCACCTGCAGCTGCTGAGGTACCCGAAATGTTCGAAATGGCGCACTTCATATGCGGATTATCTGCTCTAGGTGGTATTGTCTGTGGTATCTATTATCAAATAATATTAAGAATATTTGTTATGTTTCATACGCAGAAAATGGCAAGCAAAATACCTCATAAAATACCAATTTTATTTTAGTGTTTTCTTCCATTTGCTATATATTATCAAAGATATTAGTTATAATTATCTCAGTTCTTGGGAAGGATAAGGTCATAGAAGATCATAAAAATAAAGTATATAGTTATATTTCTACACCATTTATTGTACAGTTTTTTAATATTTCATATTGATTTTTATAATTTTTAGTTATACAAGATTTATTTCATTAATACACTTTATGTAATTACATTCTCTAATACATTTCAATAAAATGCAAATAAACTCTTTAGGTTAAATATGATAAGACACAATTTGACGTATTCAAATTACTAGAATCGCTTTCTTA